ATAATAATATATATACACTAAGCATTTTTTCAGTTGAAGAAGCATTTTCTACTCTTGCAATCACAAGTAAGAAAACATTTGGGATTCAGTTTTCTTCTAAGCTTGCAGTAGTAATGCTTTGCAGGGGCTTCCCTAAGGCTTGACACTTGCTGATCTCCATTTAACTTTTGAGCACACTGTATTCAGAAGTTGGCATCCACTCCTTTTTCTTTATGAAAATAAATGAGCAGAAAATGGGTGCTCATTTGGGCAGAATCTCTTAAGAAAATCAGAGCAAGTGGACATTTGCCTATCTTGCCCTCTCCTCTTGACACGGGCAGGGTTGTGACCATCAGGATTTAACTTTATCCCACTGAAAACTATTTCAAGACACTGATCTGTTGTTTGATGTTTCTGCTTTTTTGTATGTGTTAATCTTTTTGATACCAAACAGTTTAAAATTCTGCCAAAACTATCATCATGTTGTTTCCATCTGAATACAGTCTGCTTTGGGGAAAAGAAAAATAGAGATGTGCTTGAAGGTGTTATTTATTAACTAAATTTTCTCTTGATCCTACAGTTTGGGGATTCCCAGCAGTTGCGGCTGGTCCGTATTCTGCGCAGCACAGTGATGGTCCGAGTTGGTGGAGGATGGATGGCCTTAGATGAATTTTTAGTGAAAAATGATCCCTGCCGAGGTAAGGAACCACCCTGAGTATGAGTTCCACGGTAGGATGTTAGGTAGCACCTCAGTCTTTCATGTTTTAGGAAATATTAATGATGGGTCTGTTTGTTTTGTTTTGTTATGAAGCTGTTCGAGTGTTGGTCTACTAGCATAGATTAAAACTCAGGGTGCCTGAAAGAAAAGACAGGAAAAGTTGATGCTATTGGTGTGTAGCTGGTGCTATTGGTGTGTAGCTGGGCATAGTGCCACAAGTTTGTAACCCCCAGCACTGTGGGAGGCTGAGGCAGGAGAATCACTCATTTGAGCTTAGCTTGAGCAGTTTAGTAAGACCCTGTCTCAAAAAAAGGCTAGGGATGTAGCTCATTGTGAAGGCTGTGGGTTCAAACTCCAGTATCCAAAGAAATAATCTGTTGGTATCACTCAAATCTTTCAGTTTGTTACGTTAACACCAGTGTAGCGGGGAGCCTGAGACAATCTGATGCTTATTTTGTCTCAGCCTCAGATCCCTTTGCCTGGAATTCCTGTGACTGAAACTCAAGATTGAGTTGTGGGCCATTCCCATTCAGGAAAGGATTGGTGGGCTTCCTTAGCCAAAGGGGGAGTTAAAGGACACCTATCAGCAGCCCTGACTTCCTAAGGCAAATAGTCACCTACTCAAGCCTGTGGTGTGTCATCCTGCTAAACCCACAAAGCTAGCCCAAGCCCAAAGGTGAAAGAAAACTGTCAGTGTAATATGAGCAGTGAAGGGGGAATGATGGGATTGCAGCTGCCACATCCTGCCCCACGACATCCTTTCCTCTTTCCTGTTAGCAGAGCCATGTGGAGGCTCCCCCACTCTCTGCCGGTTTGTTTTTTCTTGATGAGTTTCTACATTTCCTGCTCTGTCTTTGTTTCTTTCTTTATATATTTTTTATTCTAGTTCACCATCCTGGGAGTAAAATAAAGCGCTCTGATTCCAGCTCTTCGATTTCCAGTCAGTCTCCCATAGGTTGGCTCTTGTGCTTTGACCCTCTTCCCCACATGCTGGTCATTGAGAATGGCTTTGCTTCTTAAACTATAACACTTTGTGCTCTGACATCTGCTGCCTTGGTGAATGCGCGGCATAGCAAAACCATTATTTTGCCAGGTAGTTACGTTGACAAGGCATGAAATAACTCCTACTGAGATAGTATCTAAAGAATTTGACTTCAGTTTCTGTTTAACAAATGTTTCTATAGCTTTCTGTGACACACTCGACTATAAGCATTTTACAAATAGTAGCACGTTTTTCTTCATAATTACAATATATACCATAGTCTTATCTACACCCTTAAGAATAAAAATTTGAGGCATAGAAAATTTAACATTATCAAGGACATTCAGCCAGTGATAGCAGAGGTGCAATTCAAATGCCAGCTGGCCTGGATTAGGACAGATGCTCCTGACCACCCGCTGTGTCTTGGAGCAGTAAGAGCTAAAAGGTGCCATTCCTACATGAATTTAAATAGAAATTTTACCTGATATTTTAGTTCATTCTGCATATACTCTTAATAAACTAGAGGAAAACACCGAGCAGTAATGATTTCCACTAGAGGTTTTTTTTTTAAATAAAAAGTTAATTTTGGAAATATATTTTCTGATAATAACTTAAAGGGTTTCATCAACTCTAGAAGAATTTAATTAGATCATAACCAATGTTTTTAAATTTTAAAATCTTATTTCATTATTTTAAATGAACGGAGTAATATGTGTCATTTTAATTTAGCAAAACATTATTCCTTTACAAATCTGTTAATAACGTTCTCATTTTCCTGTCATATACGTAGAGTAAACAAATGGGACATTGTGGGGCCGGTGAGATGGCTCAGTGGTCTAAAGCACCTACTCAGAACACGCTTATCAAAGCACAGGGACTGCGGTTCAATCCCCCAGCACCACATGCCAGCCAGTGCCGCCCCCTGGTGGGCTGAGCTGGCCACACACACACACATAAATAAATAAATAAATAAAATTTTTAAAAAATTAAAAAAAAAAAAAAGGGACATTGCATGTAGCATTTTGGAGCCTCAGGTGCCTGTTTTTATTTGCTGCCTGCTCTGTTCACAATATTATGCTGCTGGCCAAGGAGAACACTGCTTGCCTTACCCTGATCTTAATGGCTAAGATTGGAGCCCCACAGACATTTGGGAGGGTCTGGGAGTAGTTATTTCTAATCAAATAAAACAGTGCTAGGAAGTGAGCAATATGTCACAATTTCCTGATACTGCTACAATTAGAGTTTAATTTCTGCATTTATCCATGACAAAGGAAGTCATGAATGAAAATAAAAACAGTGCTCCAGACTCTAAAAATGGGTATTTAACTGGTGAGATAGCTTAGCTGACTAAAGCACCTGCTTAGGCAAGCACAGGGACTGCAGTTCAATCCCTGGCACTCCATGCCATGCCAGCCCTGCCCCTGGGCATGCTGAGCTGGCAATAGAGACCAGGCGTGGTGGTGCACGCCTATAATCACAGCACTGGGAGGCTGAATACAGGAGGATCACTACAAATCTGAGCTGCATAGTGAGACCCTGTACCAAATACATTTTAGAAATGGATATTCCTAGGCCTAGAGTACTGTATGTTTTTGGACATTAAACATACTCCCCCAAGTAAGTAAAGATCTGGAAATTTTTACGTATGGAGATGTAAAAGACACAGTTTGGCTTAGAAATGGGGCCTGGGTTACATAAGTGAGTTCAAGACCAGCCTAAACTGCAGTGAGACCCTGCCTCAAAAACAAAACAAACAGCAAGTAAACATTTCCTTTTTTTGTATTGTAACAGTGTCAGTAATACACTGAAATAATTTCCATTCCTGTATTTCTTTGCTGTGTGTATGAGGGGGGGTGATAATTGGACTACATCTTCCCCTTAAATTGTATTCAAGACAGTTCTCATTAAGTTACCCAGGCTAGGCTCAAATTCAGAATCCTCCTACCTCAGCCTCCCTAGTACCTGGGATTACAGGCATGTACCACCACTCTTGCCTTCATCTTTCTTATATACAAATTGTCCTCTCTGTGCTTTTAAATTGCCATTCTTATGGCTGGGGACATAGCTCAGTGGCGTAAGTGCCTGCCTGGCAAGCACAAGGTCCTGAGTTCTATTACCAGTATAAAAAATAGCCATTCTTTCATACTCTATCTACAGTAGGTCCTGGCAGTCCTGAACTTAACCTTGTGCCATCAGTGATGAAAACCCAGTGATGGGTTTACATTGTACCAGTGTGCCAGAGACCAAGCTTTGCAGCTCCCTGAATCCCACACTTCAGCATTGCTCTGTGCTTCTGCTCGTAATCCCTAAGAAAGGAGTACTTCTTGATGGAAGGCTTCCTGAAGATTGAGAGATTTGTCCCTTGAGATGGCTGAGAACCTACTCCTTTTTTTTGGTGTCTATTTAGATCAACACCATGTTGCAGATAAGTGTTGAAACCTCAACCACAAGCCTTGTGCAGTTATCTAAAAAGTAAATTAAGATGATGGCCCTGCTATGAAAAGCTTGTGGCCCAGTACAAGCAAACATGTAAATAAGGATAGCCCCTGGATGAGGCTAAGAGTTGAGTTGGGAGAGCAAGCCAGGTGACAGGTCTGCCCATGCAGGTGGGAAAAGCATTGGGAGGCCTTGTCCAGCTTTTGGTGGAGACGGGACACTGGACAGGGCATATGATGTTCTCAGTCCAGGACACCACAGGTTGCAACAGGCAGGAGCATTAGCAAGGGGACCACAAGGAGTCCTATTTGACAATGGCAAAGTGGGAGCCAGATAGGGTTGTGGTAAGGGCAGCTGCTGGGACCAGGTGGTGGGTATCAGGCCACTGAGCACAGGGCACCTGATCCCACGGTGCTTGTTGGGTGGCCAGGGGCAGCCCTCGGGAAAGCAGGAAGTCATGTTCAGATGCATTTGGGAGATGCCAAGTTCAAGCTAAGCTGCGTTTCTTCCAGCTCAGAGCAGTGTGGTACATCCGTGCTGTGCCAACAGATAGTGCAGAGGCCAGTGTTTGCCAAACCCCTCTCCTCAGAAAGTTCAGTCTGGAAGATTCTGCTCTAAGCAATGGATCTGCTCTGAACACACAGTTTTTATGTCGAATTTTATCCTGGGACAGAGTGGGGGGGGGGATCATGATGTCAGCTGTCACCCAGCTGGAGGTGGCACTTCAGGAGCAACCCAGGTGTGGGGGGTTGAAGAAAGACTCATGACTCCTAAGTGACAGGAGATGAGGTGAAAACTGCAGGAGGGAGAATGGAACTGCAGAGAATGGCAGGGGTAAGGAGCAGGCAGAGGTGGGAGAAGCAAGAGAGCAAGTGTTCTTGAAGCCACCGTGGAGGAGGGCTTCAGAAGGAAGAGCAGTTAGCAGACCTTCTCATGGGCATTACAACAGCACAGAGATGCTCTTACCTATTGCATTTTCAGGCCTGGTGGGGGGATTACTGGTGATGGAACCCAGGGCCTCACACATGCAAATTGTCAGACTTTTACCAGCATACCCTTAATAATACAGAGCTTGACCAGGGTGAACACATTGGAGATCACCTGACATGTGTCAACCTTGATTGACATACAGGAGTTGACGTGTTTTATCTTGAATGTGCATCCTTTTCCCCAGAAAATCCATTTGTAGGCATTTATCCTAAGAAAGTGCATATGTGCAAGGATGGTCTATAAGTTATAAGAGCATTGATAATTATAAACAAAGAATGTGAGGCTACTAGTGTTGTACACACCTGTAATCCCAGCATTTGGGAGGCTTCCTGACTTTTTTTTTTTTTTTTTTTTTTGTGGAACCAGGGATTGAACTCAGGCTCTTGCACTTGCTAGGAAAGCACTTATTCCACTGAGCCATCTCCCCGGCCCCCCTTCCTGACATTTTTGCAATGAAATCCATACACAGTTGTGCAAAGGAGTGGAGAGGCACACTAACATTGTGAAAGTGATGGCCCTGATTTTGAGATTGGGCAGCTTAGTTTCAGTTTGTACTTTCTTGTACATGTAAACCTGTCTACAATTTTAAAATGCTCCCTTTTAGTAGTTTTCAGTGGCCTTTGGCAGCAGTTTCCCTGAGGTGGGGATGGCAGGGAGTAGAAACTTCAAGTGTGGGTGATGACATAGAGTGTGACTAGGAACAGTGTGGGGTGACCTTTCCCTATGGGTGCCACCATTCTGTTGTTTATAAGTTAGGAGTGCTAATGACTATCAAGTGCAGTTTGGTGGTTTTGTTTTTGTCTTTTTGAGACAAGGTCTCATTATGCAGTTCAAGCTGGCCTTGAGCTCAGTATGTAGCCCAGGCTGGTGATGAACTCAACAGTGATCCTCCCACCTCAGCCTCCCGAGTGCTGGGATTACAGGTTGGGCCAGCAGCTTCAAGTGCAGTATTGTATAAGATAGCATTTGTAAAATCATACAGCACGTGGAAAACATGTTACAATAGTAACAGAAAGCCCTCCCAACGACAAAAAGCAGGGAGGGCTTTTTGTTGTTTTTACTGTTTAGGGACGGAATCTCCTTGTTACCCAGAGTGGTCTCATACTCTTGGGCTCAAGCACCTCTCTTGCCTCAGCCATCCATGTAGCTGGTACCACATGTGTGCACCGCCAGGCCAGACCAGCAGCCCTTTCAAAAACATTCAAAGTATTTTTGAATGGCCCACACCTGCCATTTCAAAATCTTCCTTTTGTGTCCTGTTATCTTGTTTCCTGGCTGTTTGTTCAGGAGTAAACTATCACATGTTTACTAAAGATTCAGGCTGCACACTGGAGGTTTGTTACAGCTTAGAACCATAAACGGTTCTTTTGGGGTGACCAGATCCTCAGTTGAGCACATGACTTCCCTTCTTCAGTGTTCTTTGGTGCTTGCTGCATCTCACCACTGCTGGGCACCTCGGCACCAGAAGAGGAATAAGTGCAGGGCACATACCCGTAGTACCTGGTGACATGCTGGCCCACTGAGGTCACCAAGTGCTAAAGGACACTCTGGTTGGGGATGAGTGTAGATACAGAGAAGAGCACCGACATCTGGAAAACAAATGAGTAGAGGGCTACTAGCCAGGGAATGAACCTTGAGAGGTGTGTTTTGTTGCTGCTTGAGGAAGGAGGAGACACTACATCATGGTGGAAGGGCACAGTTGAGTGCTTCAGGGGCCATGAAGTCATAGAGCAAGCAGGCAAGCTAGGCTCTTAGAGATCCACTGGCCTGATCATCTCAGGTAACCCTGGAAACCAAGGCCCAGAACAGTAAGGATCCAGCTGTTGGTGGAACCTGGCCTCTGTCTGGGAGATTTTGGTATCTGAAAGTTTTTAACGTGTTTACAACAGGGCCATGATTCATGTTTCTTGCTGTTTGGGTGGCTCTGTACTACCAGTGGAAGGCACATGCATGACTGTCCCATATAGTGGCATGGGCACTATACCACTGACAGTCCCACTGGGTTGTCCAGCCCACCTTTTAGCCATTCATGTGCCACTGGTGGTTCAAGCCTGGTGGTACCCAGTCCACCTGATACTTTCATGTATCGACATACAATATGTTGGAAAGAAAATAGTTTGTTCATCATGGCTCCTTTTTCCAGGGTACCCTAGTGGTCCCATTTGTTTAGCTGTCTAGTACTGGCACATTCCCAAAGTGAAAAGTCTAGAGTAGGTGAGCTGGTAGAAAATTACTGTATCCTTCAGTGAAAGCTAATGGAAGGACACATTCCAGAGGGATTGTTTCTTTTAAAATAGCACTGTCTTTCTCATTTAATATTTGTAGTGACTCACTGAAATATTCTAACTGAATCTACATTTTAAGTTCTGGTCTTACAGCTCCAGCAAGGCATGAGGCAGTACCTCTGGGCATCGATCCTGGCTCCAGGGTCGTCTACCAGGATGGTTGTTTCCTACTTGCATTTGCTTCTTAAGCATTTTACTGGTTTTAGTTGTTGACTTAACAGTTTCTCACTGGCAAATATTGTGCATGATATTGCTCTCTTTCTCTCTCTCTCTCCCCACGTGTTTACTTCCTTTCTTTTATTTGGGGGCAGGTACCAGGAATCAGACTCAGGACCTTGTGCTTGCCAGGCAGGCACTATGCTGCTGAGCTGTATACCCAGCCCAACTTCTTAATGATTCATCATTTTATTGTTCTCAGTTCCTGGAGCCCTTTCTTTAGGATTATTATTGGCTGAATTCAAACAGCAGAGTTTAGACAATGTTGGTTTAACCTAATGTGTTTTTCTCCACTATTTCATTACCCCATATCCTGCCCCCCACCAAAAAAAAAATGAGCAAAAAGTACATGTGTCCTATGAGAGAGAAAAGAGGGATTTTGTTTGATATCAGAGGCTTGTGGACCATTGCATCTGCTTCACCTTAAACAGTCACAGTGTGCTTACCCCAGGGACAGTGGCAGAGCAAGACCCCAGCCATAGAACAGAATGGTACTTTGCACATAAAAACTAGTTTATTATAGCAAGCCATGGTCTTTCTAGTTAGTGTGTCTGCTGTGGGTCAGAACAGAGCTGGTAGATCATGAATTTATCTTTATTGTTGAAGAATGCACAGATAGTACTAAGCCTGTAACTTATATACACTGTTATCTGGGGTCAAGCAGCTATGTGACCAACAAAGATACATTTTTAAGAGTAACTAACTTGTTGTACATGTATGTTACTTATTCCCTTTTTAGCACGAGGTAGAACTAACCTCGAGCTTAGAGAGAAGTTCATCCTACCAGAGGGAGCATCCCAAGGAATGACCCCTTTCCGATCACGGGGTCGAAGATCCAAGCCGTCTTCCCGGGCAGCTTCTCCCACCCGCTCCAGCTCAAGTGCTAGTCAAAGTAACCACAGCTGTACATCTATGCCTTCTTCTCCAGCCACGCCAGCCAGCGGGGCAAAGGTACATGCTCCTTCCTCATTGCATGTTGGCAGGCATTTGCTGTGCATGGCAGCCTCTGGAACACTCCAGAGAAAAGAGGATCTGTAGAAACATGTGCAGTCCCTTGCAGTACAGAGATATATAGTTTAGGATGATTACATTGGAAATACCTGTTTTCTTTTATCCCCAGTTTGAACGTGACCCCATCCACCCACTAATTTTGAAAATCTAGGCACTGTCTATGCAGCTAGAGCTAACTTTGGTGATGAAGTTGCTATTAGAATGGATTATAAGGGGCCGGGGAGAAAGCTCAGTGGATTAAGCGCTTCTCTGGCAAGTGCAAGGGCCTGAGTTCAATCCCCGGTTCCGCAAAAAAAAAAGAATGGATTATAAATGAAGAATGCTATTGCCTTTCTGCCTGGTCCCTGTCATCCTGTTGGACTGATGTGCATTTTGTTTTCTGTTTCTTTAAAGTTTAGTGTCTTCTATTTTTTTCTGTTCCCCAATTTGCTCCCTTTCTGTTCTACTTTAAATTGTCCCCGTCCTTCCCTTTGGATTTCCGTTTCACAGACTCCACTTCAGTTCTCTCGCTGTTATGACAAACCTTGGCTGGTAAACAGTAAAGTGGGCACCCCTGTCAAGGACAACCATTGTCCTGACCTCCAGCTGCCCAGCCCCGAGGTAGAGTATGGCTTTGCTGAGTGGGGACACAGCCAGGATGAGACCCGCGCTTGCGCCAAGACCTTGCTATTCTTCCTGACATGAGCCCGTCTGTCTTCTGTCTTTGGTGCTTACTGGCACAGCTGGTTCACCAGTGCAGTGTTTTCAGGAGTTTCTAACTCAGAGTCACTGAAGTTGGAGATAAATGAGAGAGACCTAAAACTTTTCACAACTGTATAAGTTTTTAGCATTTCATTTGTTCAGAATGGTAAATAATGATCATTCCCGATTTTTTGATTGGTGCGGTGTATAATCAAGCCTCTTCACATCTCTAAACGTCAGTTACGCAAATGAGTTATGAACACTTGAAATTCAGCGATGGTGCATGTTCACCAGTGTTGTATCTTTGCTTAGAAAAAGAGCGGTTTGTGCCATCTACACTGAGACAGCTCCCCCGGGGTGGCTGGTACTGCCACACTGGCCCAAGGCATGGGTGCTGCCTACTTCAGCCAAGTGCAAGAGCAGGGGCCACTGCTGAGGCTCAGATGTTAGGCTCTGAATCCTTGGCCAAGGCATGTGGTTTTCTGTCACCTTGATCTGAATACATACGCCAGCAAGTGAGCATGTTTAAGTGCAGCCACTACAATCCCTAAATACTTGGAGGAACAATGTTTCAGAAATAAACCCTGGACCAGCAGCTTGCCTGACAGCAGTATAATTTGCATTCTAGCTCCTAGAGGGAAGCGTTGGGTTCTTGCACCTCCAAGTATCAGGCAAAGTTTTAGCCAGAGAAATTAAGGAGGAGCAAGAAGCCAGTGGCTGTGAATGAACTGCTGCTTTGGGATCCATCCCACTCCCAGCTGAAACTCCAATTCAAAGTCTGCCTGGCTCAAAACATGTGCTGGGAACCTCCTGCTGCTAAAACTCTTTAAGACTCAACATGCTGATTTTGCTTTTCTTCTTCCATAGTGGCTCCAGTTTCATGAAAATCTCGAGAGTTATAAACTTTTAAATGTTTTATTTCTGAAGTACAAATTCTCATACAATTCTGATAGTTGGCCCTTGTTGTTTTGTCCTAAGTTGTAATGTTTTGTTTCATTTTGAGGTTTCATTTTTCTTTACTCGTTGGTATTCTGTGACCAGGCCATGTCCTGACTGGACCCCCCAGCCCAGTGTCTCTGGGCCATAGATTCCCAGCAACAGTGCTCCGGAACAATTGCTTCTGAAACTGGTGCCCCTCCTGTGGGCCAGGAAAGCTCATGCTTGAGTGTTAATCACTTACTGTCGCTTTGCTTTTTCATTATAAATTAAAGAAATGCAACACAGTGAGACGGGTTACTTTACTCTTCTATCTATACAAAATTCTTAAAGGTCCTGGAAAACAATGTATACACCTGATTTCAAAGGAAAACCATCACAGCATGATGTGGCATGAGTGGTATTAAAACAGACTTTCAAATATTCTTCTCAAAGTTAAGTCTGCTTAATACCTCTTTAAAAAAAAAAAACAACATACTGGAAGTGTAGCTTCTACTGGTCGCAGTAATACTTCGAAACACTTCCAGATTAGGAAATGCCTCTCCAAATCGTTTATTCCTTCACTAAGGTTTTATTGAGTTCCTGTGGTATGCTAGCTTTAGCTGCTGAAGATAAAGACCATAACACAGAGTCTTTGCTCTTATGAAGTTCAAACCAATGCAAGAGAAAGAAGCAATGAGAAAGTAATGCATGAGGCAGGGATAAATACTCTGCAACAAGAGCAGCAGGGAGCTAGGCAGGAGGATCCCAGGCTGACCCTGTCTGGGTAACTGAAGGACTTAGCAAGATCCCATCTCCAAATGTGAAAAGGCACTGCTAGGTCAAGCTCCAATGTGGGGAAGGAGGGGTAAAAACAAAAATCAAAGGAAGAGATCACAAAGGTACAAAGCCGTGTGGAGTTGTAAGGTAAAAGCTCTGACAGTGTCATCCTTCCAGAAAGCTGAGCCTCTGAAGGAAGTAAGGGATGGAGCCACATATACTAGGGAGTAGGTACAGTAAGTCCAGGCAGAGTGGACAGCAAGGGGACAGCACTGGGAACCTCCCTGGGCATTTGGACAAACAGCAAGGAGTTTGTCGAGCCTCAGGGAGGCTAAACAGCAGGGAACCTAGTAGATATGAAGTAGGAGAAGCCAGATCATGAGGCGGAGCAGAGCTACAGGCTGGTTCTCTTGGACCTGTCTGGTCCCGGAGCCCACATGCAAACCCATGGCCCCAGCCCCACTGGAGGAGTGAGTGGTCCTGACAGCACTGCCCCACTTCCTGAGCCTCATGTCACTTATTTGGTCTACAAGTCAAGTAATTGTAGCAGTGCAGGTGGAGAGAAACTAGCAAGAGGCCTTGACTAGCTTTATACTACTTACTATTGGAGTAGTGCTTGAATCCATCAGTATTTCATAACTCCCAAAACATTGATTTGTACAATTATATGGATTTTTTTCTTTATTCATTTACCATGTTTCAGGCTGAGGAGATAGCTCAGTAGAATAAGCACTTGCCTGGCAAGCTCAAAGTTCTGAGTTTAATCCCCAGTACCACCAAAAAAAAGCATTTACCATGTGTCATTATAACTACATTAATCTTGGCTGTTTGGAGATTTTTTTCCATTTCTAATAGAAATTGTCAGAAAACATTTTGGAATTTTAAATTGGATTTTTTTTTTTCCATTGGAATTTAAAACTTTTCAAAATCTTTAAAATCTATGACCTGTCCCTGGCATCACATGCCACACTGGCCCCACCCATGGGTGCACTTTGCCAACCACTGGGACCAGGTGTGGTGGTACACACCTGTAATCCCAGCACTGAGGAGGTTGAAAAGGAGAATCAGTACAAATCTGATCTATGTAGTGAGACCCTGTAGGCCCTGTACGAAATACATTTTTAAAAAGAAGAAAATAAGTCTTGGGGCCAGGATATAGCTTAGTGGCACAGCACCTCCCTGGCAGGCTCAGGGTTCAAGTCCCAGTTCCAGAAAAAAAGAAAATAGGTCTTTGTTTTCCTGGACTTTTAATTTGCTTTTCAAATGATCAACTATAAAGATGCTTTTAAGTAGACTTTTTAAAATTATATGTCTATCACAGATTTCATCAAGTAAATGTGACCTTTTAATTTTTTTTTTTTAAAGATAATTCCATCAACAGGCAGCAAGTTGAAACGACCAACACCAACTTTCCATTCTAGCCGAACATCCCTCGCTGGTGATACCAGCAATAGTTCTTCCCCAGCCTCCACAGGTGCCAAAACCAATCGGGCAGGTAAGTCCCGTGAAGTCTGCATTGGCTGGGGACAAGGGCAGGAGCCAGGCTGAGACAGGGAAGCAGTAGCCTACGGGCGAGCAGCCCTGCTCCCACCAGGCCAGCGATGAGAACAGCTGAGACCTGCAGTCCTGACCTGTGCTGCTTCTCCTGTCCACACAGCCAGTTCTGCCCCGGCCTTCTTGAGAGCAGTGCTTCCACACACAAAGCTAGGCCGCCTGTCCTTGTTCACAGGTGATCACAGCTGAAGGAAGATCAGTGGAAGAAGGGCCAGGCCAGAGCTGGGCAGTGCAGGCAGTTTTTACTAAAGAGTTGGGGAAAGACTGCATCTGCTGAACACCGAGTATTCCTCCTGGGAACCTGGGAGATATATATATAGATATATAGATATATAGATATATATAAAACTCAGAACCAAGGATTTAACTCACGCCCCTTGCGCTTGCCAGGCAAGCACTTACTCTACTGAGCTGTCTCCGCGGCCCAAACCTGGGAGTTTGCCATCTCTCTCGGCGCTGTGTTTCCCTTCCTTCGCCTCCATTATCTGCCTGCCCACCTGTTACCGGCTCATCTGCTCACCTGCCAGTGCAGGGGCAGTTGTGCAGGCCTCGCTGACTGCGTGGAGGCCTGGAGCATCATAGTGCTGTGGGCATAGTCTGCTTTCCACTCTGAGGAAGCAAGCTTCTCAAGCAGACCTGCAAGCCAGGAAAGGCTCAGTAACAAGTGTGCATGAGGAAGCCAGGGCTCAGAAAAGCTGTGGTTTGCCAAAGGCCACATAGCAAATCAGGTAGAATTAGGCTCAGCATCCTGAACTCTGGTCCTTTGTGCTGTCACCCATATCCTCTGTGTTATAATCTGTTATCCTTTGCTGCTCTCTTCTTAAATTCCAGACCCTAAAAAGTCAGCCAGTCGCCCTGGAAGCCGGGCTGGAAGTCGAGCTGGGAGCCGAGCCAGCAGCCGGCGAGGAAGTGACGCTTCTGATTTCGACCTTTTAGAGACACAGTCGGCCTGTTCAGACACCTCAGAAAGCAGTGCTGCAGGGGGCCAGGGCAGCTCCAGGAGAGGGCTAACCAAACCTTCCAAAATCCCAACCATGTCCAAGAAGACCACCACTGCCTCCCCCAGGACTCCGGGTCCCAAGCGATAACACTGTCCAAGCCCCACACCACTATCCACTTTGAATCCTGCTCCATACATTGGATGTATATTTATTCTGAATGGGAGAAGTTATATTGTTAAAAGTGTAAAAGAATAATTGTGTTATGAAGCTGCCTTATTTTTTTTTTCTTTTTGTAAGTTACTATTTTCATGTGAATATTTATGTAGATAAAATTTGCCTCCTGGTAACCCTGTGATGGATAGGGTCCAGAAATGAAATATTTGAGAAAAACAAGTAAAAAGGTCAAGACATAAATATGTATTTAAAAAAAAGCCTCTAGGGTTTCTGCGTGGTGCAGGGTTGTATACCTGCTTTATCTTTTAGGATTATTCCTAAATGCATCTTCTTTATAAACTTGACTTGCTGTCTCAGCAAGATAAATTATATTAAAAAAAAAAAAAAAAAAAAGAATCCTGCAATGTTTAAGGAACTCTTTTTATAAATCACAAACACCTCAGTTAGCAAGAATGGGGGGGAAGGCACTCATAACTGTTTCCATTGTTTTAATGTTGTGTGATTGTAGCCGAAGAGAGGGATCCTCACCGAGGTAACATCTGCACACAGTCCAGCAGAGAAGTGCACTGCAGTGCTGACCTGGAATTCTGTCCTGTGCGGGGTGTGTGAAGGCCTCGCAGCCACTCGAATTCAGGGGTAAATGTCACTGTTCCAAAAATGTCAGAACATTGGGCCTTTCAACCAATTTGTACCATCCATCCTCCCCACCGGTAGCTCCTGTGCTCACCAGGCCCAGACCCTCGGTGTGGAGGCTCCCTGGTGGCACTGTGGAGTACAGACTTGTTACCTGCATATTTTGCTACTTCTTTAAATGGTCGATCAACTTCCCACAAACTGAGGAATGAATTCCACGAGCCCATTCTGAAAATGGGGACCTGAGACAAATCCTTGTGCATCCTTCAATGGAGCTTCACCAGCACATTTGCTCACCAGTCCTGTTCGCTTCTGTCTTTTTTGTGCGTAATAAAGTCAACTGACCACGTAACACAAAGGGGCTGTCTGGGGCTCCTATTTTTTAGCTGCTGTTCCTCTTCAGCTCCGACCATGTTGCTGTGTGATTATCTCAATTGGTTTTAATTGAGGCAGAAACTGAAGCTCTACCAATGAACTGTTTAAAACAAGACACACTTTTGTATTAAAATTGCTTGCAGTAACAAATATTTTGTAATTCCTGATTTTCTTCTCAACTGTTACCTTATATGTAAATGTCATCCAGGGTCAGATAGGGTTGGAAAACACCCCAGTCAAGCTATCGTGGATAATAGATTTTTTAAAATTTTATCCTGGTTTATTTCACAGGGCAATAGGATATTTTTAATACATGTAAGGTATCTGTTCTACTTACATGATTAAGCAAATACTAATTGCCTGTATTAGAAATCATACAAATGGGGGTTGAGAGACTGGGGCCACTTTCTCAGGCTGAAGTTTGTTTAAATGATGGAATTTCAGGGGTGAAAAGTAAAATTGGTTGTCCTTTTACCACACAACAAAGACCCATCAGTCGAGGAAGGCAGTAGCAGAAAAAGAACATTTTGGTAAGTGTTAGTCAGAAGGCCCTCCCTGGGAGCTGGCAGGCATGGTGTATGCAGGAGGTGGGTGGTCCCGGACGTGGGCTCTTTTTTTTTTTTTTTTTTTTTTTATTATGTGTGTGTGTGTGGCCAGCTCAGCCCACCAGGGGGCGGGGCCCATGTGGTGCTGGGGGATTGAACCGTGGTCCCAGTGCTTTGCTGAGCTAAGTAGGTGCTTTAGACCACTAAGCCATCTCACCAGCCCCGAGTGCAGTAGGTCTTTAAAGAAGGATATGAATACCTTGTTACAGGGTAGAAAGATCTCACCAATCCATGGGCCCTGTGTTAGAGGGACCTCCAGGGTTCTGGCTGTGGACACCTTCCCAGCTCCCTCTTTTTTTTTTTTTTTTTTTTTTTTTTTTGTAGCAGGGATTGAACTCAGGGCCCTGCACTTGCCAGGCAAACACTTATTCTACTGAGCTATCTCCCTGGCCCCCCAGCTCCCTCTTTGGCTTGCCCTTTCCCTGGCTGGCATCCGTCCATGCGCTGCCCTTCACCAGAACACCCCACAGGCCTCCCGTCGGGCCAGGATCTCCCTGAGAAGCCTTAGGACCAGCTCAATATTTTCTTATACACATGGTGTTTTACTGAAACTGATCAGATTACTGTCCAGAGCAGGAAAATAGCAAACCTTAGAAATTGGAACCTAAGCCCCACGAGGCCAGTGCAAGCCTCTCCTCACTTCCCTGATTTTATCTCCCTATTCATATCCAACACTTCCTGTTTCTTCTGACCCTATATACTGTGTAAAACAACCAAATATTAACTGATTCTAATAGGGAACAGACTAGAGAATGTGAGAAGAGGGCCACAAATGCAGGCCATCTATAATGTCATCAAGTCATACCTTTTTCTTTTTGAGGCAGGATCTCACTGTAGTTCAGCTAGCTTTGGTCCTCCTGCCTCAGCCTCCTGCATGCTGGGATTCTATGCATGTGGCAATATGCCAGGCTTCAGGTCATATTTCTTTTTTTTTTGTTTGTTTGGTGGAACCAGGGATTGAACACAGGCCCTTGTGCTTGCCAGGGAAGCGCTTATTCTACTGAGCCGTCTCCCTGGCCCAGGTCATATTTCTTAAAATGCTGGGATTCGACAAAATAAAAATGAACATCTTGTCAAAACTTAGGTCATAGGGCCAGGAAGATCCTTGGCAGTCTAAGCGCCTGCCTGGCAAGCACAAGAACCCGGGTTCAATCCCATGGGTAGCCCATGCCCAGCGCTGAGGAGGCTAAGACAGGAAGATCACTACGAGTCCGAGCTGCATAGTGAGACCCTGTAGCAAATACATAAATTTAATAAAAGAAAACTTAGGTCACATGCTCATTTAAAGGGAGTGTACAGCCTGCAGGGTTTCAGAGGAAGCACTTACTGTCTTGCCTGTGGAATGGGTTAACTTCAAGCTGAGAGAACTTAGTGTAGAATGGTGTTTTCATTGGAATGGCTTCCACCTTTAGGCCTCTCGGAAGCAGAAGCATGCTGAGACCAATTTGACCTTCAACTTTCCAGAGCATTTTTTTTCTTTACTGAGTTCAGGTTTTCCCTGGGTGTTCCTGGCAAAGCTCAGCTGGTGATAGCACCAAAGAAAGTGTGTTTCCACTAAAGCTGCTGTGTGCAAGTGTGGAGGACCACCTGAGCAGCTCTCCTTGAAAGAAGAGTGACTGTCTCCATTTTGGCTGAGCCTGACCCTATTTCCTATGTACAGAGCCGGCTAGGACTTCTGTTTATCAATTGGCCTTAGGTAAATGTGGGCCACCCACCTAGCTCAGCTCACAATGATCACCTACCTCCCACAATTCTCAGTCAATCCTCCTCAAGCCACTCCCCCACTGAATAAAAACAGGGTGAGGCCCTGCTTCCCTCTCTTGGTTCCAGAAAACCATCTTCATGGCTGGACTTAGAGCCCCTTGACTCCCCGATGATTGAAAATACAATTTAGTGTCTTTATTTTCATCGTGGGTAGCATTGTAACTGGTAGATTGGAATCAACTTGATGAGATTGCAATAACGTAACTTTGGGATTATAAATATTGGCTTCTTGGACCGGCACGAGGTCCAGGAAGTGCCTCCTACATGCAAGACCATGTAGGAAACATACCCTTTAAAAGGACTGAAATGCAATTCTGAGAAACAGTGAAAGACAAATGTAGGGGCCGGGGAGATAGCTCAGTAGAATAAGCACTTGCCTAGCAAGTGTAAGGGCCTGAGTTCAATCCCCGGGTGCACCAAAAAAACAAAAACACCCAAATGTGATCTCTGCTGGTATGTTGAATGATGTAATGACAATAGCTGATTGTGCTAAACTCACATTCTCACTTAATACCCGCCCCATTCCTGTGATCTTACCTCCTTTCAGATTGAGGTCCATTCTGAGACAGATGAACTTGAAGGGTCACAGAGTCGCCAGGAGGCAGGAGAAAGCCTTTGTTTTGACATTAGTACTTCCTCCAAGAAACCCACCTCAATTCCCGCCCAGTCCCGGGGTTCCACTCACGCTGCCTTCCCCCACCTCCCCGACTTCGTTCTGCCCTTCCAGGCACTTCGTCGCTGCTCTGGGAGCACAGCCTTCTTTCCACCCTCGGCAGCCTCCATGCAGTGAGGTCTGCTCAGGGCTCAGGTCTTGGCCTCCTGTCCGCTGGGGCCCGCCGCAGAACAGCGCACCCTGGTGGTTGTCGAGCTGAATTGCGGGCCGGGATGCCGCGTAGTTACAGGAATGTGGCCCCTGGAAAGCACGCAGCCGCCTCCACACACTGTACGTGGAGATCGGATTTCTGCCCTGAGAGTCAGCCCCAACACCGGGCCGCTTGCAGTCTGACTAGAAGCCCGGCACCGCACAAAACACAGCCCCAGAATTGCTGGCTGCATGGCAGGCTCCAATTGTGGTGGTGTGGACCCAGGGGAGTCCAGAGGGGTCCCGGGTTGCAGGGGTGCGGGGCGGATTCAGCTCCTCACCACTCGACGCGGGCAGCCCTCGACTCTGCTCTCTGCCCCGCTCACCGCGCGCTGCAGATTCAACCTGGAAAACGGTTTTCTCCTCGGCCCTGCGCCCCTCCGCATCCAGAAGCGACAGCCAACCTCCCACCCCCTTGGTTCCTGTACCCGCTGCGAGTCCAGACCCAGACGCCGGGCTCCGGCCCTCGGCCCCCTCCGCCGCTGCTGCATCCTGACTTTTGCCTTGGGCGCTTTCCTCCGCTGATTTGCATTGTGGGGCTCGCGAACCGCGTGGAAATTTACCCGTGGGTAGATTTTAAACCATGTGTTTAAAGCCCCAGCAGCGGACTGTATTGAGAATTGTTGACATTTAAAACTTTGAAGTGATTACTACATTAAAATGTGATTTGGGGATGGGCAGCACGCCCTAATGGGTAACAGTTTAATCTGGAATCCATACGGAGACGCCACAATTCTGCAGGGACCTCGTGGGGCCACCGGCAAGGGCCCTTGTGGCCCCTCTCTGGCGGCCCTTCCAGCCCGTGTTTGCCCGGTTCCCCCGCTTCTGCGAACGTCTAACCTGCAGGTGCCACCTGCCCCATCCCGGCCCTGCAAACGCGCGACTTGGGAGAAGCCCCTGAACCTCTGCGTGTCTCACTTCATCTGCTAAGAAGAGGGGGCTCCGGTGGTGTGTGCCCCATGAGGACTCGTGAACACTGCGGAACAGGCGGGGCTCAGAACAAGTCCGGCACGCAGCAAGCGTCTCTGCGGTGCTCGGCGGAGTCGAGAGCCTCGACACAAGCTCTTCCCTCTGCTGGAGGACTGTTCTCCCGCTGACTCCTGTCGACCCAGGGCAGCTCCGCGGAGCCCCGGGGCTCAGGCGGGGGCCGCTTCCTCCCGCGCAGGGTCCTAGCCACGCACCAATCAGTGAGGAGAGAGCCGCAGGGCAGGGCGTGCGGGTGCGCTGAAAGGGCTCTGTCCAAGTATTTCCGGAGGCCCTTTCTCTACAAACCGCTGAAGACCGAGAGGATGCGCGAAAGGAGCTGCTGGGGACTCTAGGAGGGCCTCAGAGCTGCGGCGACGCTGGAGGCGCAGGCTGATAGATCAGCAAGCCAGGTGCTCGCCGTGCAGAGGGCTCTCACGAAACGGCGGAGCTCGGACCAGATCAGGGGCCACCGCATTGGCGCCCAGGGATCACGGGAAAGCGCCTGGCGAAGGCGAGGAGCTGCGGGGGCCTGGATCCCAGGGCGCTCGGTGTCGGGCGGAGGAACGCGTCCCAGCCTCGGGCCAGGGCTACACCTGCGCGGCGTCTCCCGAGGGACTGGGGACGCGCGTCGAGCGAAGTGGCGATTCCCTGTTGGCAGGACTAGCCGGGCAACGAAAGCCACGCCCCGTGGGAGAGCAGGTTCCTCCTTTCCCGGGACGGCGGGAGACCCGGCCTCCGGGCCACACTCGACGGCGCTGCCAGCGGCTTAGGTAGGAGCCCAGCGGAGCCACAACTGAAGGGACGCATGGACTGAGGAACACGCCGGGACTTGCACCTCTCGAGAGCTGTCGGCTCCGCTCTGACCACGCCTCCGCTTCGCCATTAGTCCGGCCAAGGAGAGCGGGGCAGAGATCCGCCAGGCCAGCCTGAGGCTCCCTTCCGGTCCGCACCGGGGTCTGCACAGAGCTCGCTCGCTACCCATGCCGCTGCGGGAACCTCGGCCTCAGCTGGACTAGGGCCCAACGCGGACAGGCGAATCAACCGGTCGCCTGCAGGCCCTGCCTCACCCACCCGCGGCGGCGCCGGCCGCACCCGTAGTCTCAGAGTCCCGACAAGTGCCGCAGGGCCCACAGGTGACAGGTGCCTCTGGGGAGGCCCCACCCTGGCCCAGGCGGCCGCAGAGGACGTGCGTCCGCTAGGTGCACACGAGCGCCGCGACACATGCAGCGCGAGATCCTGGCGGTGCTCTGGCTGCCCGGGCGACCCCGGCTCCGCTCTCTGCCCCCCGCCGCCAGGCTGCCTGCATCCGCGCCTCCCTTCATGCTGAACCTCTACCACGTCATGGCCGGCGGCGGCGACGACGACGAGGACGCCTTGTCCCCGAGGCGGCGCCTGGGCCTTGCCGACCTGATCATGAGCTTCCTCAACATGGATGAGTGCCGGTCGTGGGGACACCTGACGGGGCCAACGCAGATTAGGCTCCCCCCTAGAGGAGAGCTGCTACGGGCTGTCTGGGAAGGGACTGCGCCCTCCAGCCGGTCCCTGGGGGAGTGAGAGATGGAATTCGGGCTGTGAGCAGTATGGGGTCCCGGAGCAGTGGCAGTCGGAGTGCAGTGGACACCCCTGAAGTGGCAGGGCAGGGAAAGTCGTAAAAGGAGGAGTGGCAGATCACCCCGCCCCCCCCCATGGAGGCACAGGAGCAGTGAGGTGTGGTCTGCTAGATGGCCATGAACGTGCCTGCAACACACCCAGGACTGGAGTCTGGTGGTGTCAAGCCCACTTGGGTGGCCCCAGAAAGGTCTTGAGATGCATGCGTGTACAGAGGCCTTGGTGCTATTGCTGTGATAAGGGTAGTGCTGAAAGTTCAGCGGGAAACCTGGGTCACATCAGCAGAGTGACCACATGCCCGAGTCCACAGCAATCACTTCCCTGTGTAGCAGGTGCCTGCAGGGAGGATGCACTGTCAGGAGACAGCCAGGTAAGGAGGGGACACTCTCAGGCCTGGGGACTGCAGTCTTGTTGGTCTGGCTCCAATACCTTGGACCCACCTCTTTTTCCCTGACAAAACTTGACTCCTCCTCTCTGCAGAACTCCTTTCAAATTTTGGAGCAAGAAGGGCTGGGGAGATAGCTCAATACAATAAGTGCTTGCCTGGCAAGTACAAAGGCCTGAGTTCAATCCCCAATTGTGAAAAAAAAAAAAAAAGAGAACAAGAAGAAGAAATTTTGGAGCAGGTTGGTCCTAGGGTTTCAAAAGTATTTTCTCACTGCTCTTTAATCTACAGGCATTCCTGTGTAGCTAGGTCAGGTCCTCATCCACCTTCTCTCCTGTCTATGGGCTGGTGACAGGCAGAGGTCTTAGAGCAGCAAGAGGACCCAATCTTTCCAGCAGCATGTGAGTAGCTATGGTCTCCATCTCTATTGTGCAGGGAAGAAACAAAACCAGGACAGACCAGGGTGGTGTGACATTTCTCTCCTGTCAGGCTTTCAGGAAGGAGAGAACTTTCTGAGGAATTAGGGCAGAGGAACACGAGGGACCAACAGCCGCAGGTTTTCGGGATCCTAAGCCATGTTTCCTACACTAGGATGGGAAGAGGGGATGGACACCCCTGTGTCACCACCCCAGAGCTGGTGGCAGCCTGAGGTGGGGGAGGGTGCAGCAGCTCCTTGCCAGTGTTGAGAGCCAGGCCTGGCACAAGGCTCCACCCAGTGGGACCTGGGTGCTGCCCTCCTGCTGAGAGGTCAGGGTGGGGCTTCGAACAGACCATATGTGGCTGTGACCAGAACTCCATCCTCAGGACAGGCTGACCCAGGGCTCAGGACCAAGAACAGGGTGAATGGACTTGCCCAAGAATGTCCCCAGGAGAGCCACCCATCAGAATGAGTCACTGGGCTGGTGAGATGGCTCAGTGGTCTAAAGCACCTACTTAGAACAAGCTTAGCAAAACACAGGGACTGTGGTTCAATCCCCCAGCACCACATGCCAGCCAGCCCCGCCCCCTGGTGGACTGAGCTGGCCACACACACACACACACACACACACACACACATAAATAAAATTTTTTTAAAAAATTAAAAAAAAAAAAAAAGAATGAGTCACTGCCCAGCCCATGGCAGATTACCCCAGCATCCCCTAGGTCAAGGCACATAAAGCCCTAGTGGGAGCCATTGCTGGGATGGAGCAGAGCCCAGCCCTGTTGTGACCACAGGGAAGTCCCTAGTCCACTGACCCTCAGGCCACTCCTTGTGAATGGGGGCTCCTAGACAGCCTGCCTCAGGGTTGGAAATCAGGTGACTGCTTCACAGAACTGCAGGGGCCCCTCCTTTCCCTCAGAGAGCCAATCTCTACCTGGCCACTGTGGATCCTTGTCCCTCCCAGCTGCGCCCCAGCCTTGGTATGGATGTGACAGGAAGCCCCATGTCTTGCAGACACTGAAACCCAGAAACAGGTTCTAAAAGCTGCACACGGGGCGTTTGCACCTGCATTTAGGAGTATGCACCCATGGACTTTCCCAGGCTCTGCTTCCCATTTAGGCCAAGCAACAAAGTATGAAACTCTTTGGCCAGCTGTATCTCATGAGCTCGGAGAGGTCCAAAGGCCACCCCAGAGCCACACGGCATGCCTGGGGCACATCCACAGCTTCTTCCCACGCCATCTCTGCATGTTCCTTTGGGACCTGTGCCTCGGACTCCTCTGTGGATGAACAAGCAGGTCTTTGTTCAGTGGCAGCCCTGGCTGTGGGTGGCTCCTGCAAAAGGGCCTCTATATTCTACCTTCTCGCAGCCACAATTCTCTTGGCCTAAGTTGTTTGACTGGTAGTCACCCAGCCCAGCTGCGAAAGTCGGCCTAGAACCACGATGGAGTCTGATGGCTGTGACACTTGGTGTCCACACCCATGCCAGGCTCTCACACCTGCTGCCTCTGGCTCTGCCTCTCCTGTCAGCCCCATCTAGCTCCTGAGTGGCTGGGTCTGTGGCTGCCAGGCCTCTGACTGCTGATGGCAGTGTGAGGAACCCAGAACCTGGGGTCCTGCAGGCCTCCTGCCTGGGCTCTGGTCTGTGAGGGGCAGGCACCTGAGGAAGCCGGCAAGGTTTTTAAGGCCCTCAGTGGGAGCCATGGCTATGGTCAGAGCTAGCTTCCCTGCCTGCCTGTCTGTCCATCTCAGCCTGTCCCACCCAGCTCCTCGGGATAAGGCACATTCATGGGGGCCATAAGGAAGATGAATCTCATGCCTGGTCTTCCTGTGCTCAGCCCAGGCCCAGGTTTGTGGCTCCACTGCCTGGGCCTTCCCTTCCCTCCTTAGGCCTCTGCCTTCCCGTCCAGGCTGCAGTGATGGCGTGAGAAAACCAAGGCACCTCCCAGCCTAGTCCTGTGGCTCTGTCAGAGGTAGCTGCTCATGGTACCACTTGTTTCCTGGTAAGGTTGACTCAGACCTTCCCAGCCCCAGCTCCTGGAAGGAGGCAAGAAGATCTGCTCTGCAGGGCTTCCAAATCCTCCCACCAGGGGCCAGGGCAGAGACCACTGCTCCAGACTGAGAGCACAGGTGTGAGCTGGCTGAAGTCTAGGCCCGATCACAGTGGCGCCAGCTTCACTCTTCTGAACCAGACTAGATATTCCCATGGCTCAGGGGACCAGGGACAGGGTGGTGATGAACTGAGCTGGTTGGGTTGGGGGTATTGGGGCTGAGTGAAAACTCGGGCCTCACCCAGGCCCTGCTCTGCTCTTGCCAGCCCTGTGACCTTGAAGGGTGACCCTTTCTCTCCTAGGGCTCAGGGTCACTTTTCTTAGTTCTCTACTAAGAAATTCTATCATTTCCCACTCATTCAGTCAACAAATAGTTATCAGGACCTGCTCTGTGCCAGCCCAGTTCTAGTTGCTGTGGATGGAACAGACAACATTCTCTGTGTCCTTAGACATGAGCCACAAAGACCATGGTCAAGTGAGCTTGGCTGAGCTTTGTGACAACTGGGTTGGGGTTCTGACCGCGGTGTCACAGACACTATGCATCTGACTCCAGCGTGTATCTCAGCGTGACCTGGGCTTTCCCATCCACCTCTTTGAGGCTCAGTTTCCTCCTCCATAACATGGAGTTACTCACTTTTGAGACTGTGAGGACCCGGGTGAGATGCTGCCCAGCAGCAAGCCTGTGCCCAGAACCTGACGTCTGTTCCTTCATGGGCAGCTCGCAATTACTGCCATGCGTTTGCTTTAGAAAGAAGAGAGTGAGCAACAGAGAAGGTGCAGGATTTTCTAAGGCCACAGAGCAGGTGGTCTCTCCACCTCCACATCCTGAGCTTGGGCCCTATTGAGCAGCTGCCTCTCCAAGCAGCCCAGGTCCAGCCCAGCAGTAAATGCAGTACATGCCGCGAAATGGTCTGCACTGAGAGTTGCCTTAGTTACTTTTGTCACGGATGAGACAAAAATACCTGACACCCACAAGTTAAAGAGGAAAGGCCTGCTAAGCTCACAGTTTGTAGAGGTTACAGTCCATAGTCAGCTGGTTCTAAGGCATGGTGGCATGGCAGAGGACATCACAGAGGAGAAAGAGTCCAGTGCAGGGTTGGCCGGCAGCAGCAAGTAGCAGCAGAAGCAGCAGAGCAAACAACCACAGTGCCCACTTTTGTCACTTGTATTCTATCCAGGCTACATGTCCTGAGGGGAGGTGCACTCACACCCCGGCTATGGCTCTCTTAAGCCCAGCCTGGCACCATTAATCCCAGCATTGCATACTTAATGGTAGCATTATCCACCCAGATCCAACCACTTCTGAGAAGTCCTTCCGATGGCCATATGAGCCTTTGAGGGGACACTGAGATACCAACCCTAACATTCCACCCCTACCCCTTAACAGAGTCCTGTGCATCCCTTTATGCAAAAGCCATATAGTCCATCTCTAAGAGTTCTCAAAGTCCTACCAGTTTCAGCACTGATGAAATCCCAAGCCCCAAGACTCCTGCAAGATCTAAGGCAAACTCTTAGCTGTGAGCCGCTATACAAATGAAAGGTAAACACTTCCAACATACAACGGCACAACATAGACATGCCCGTTCCAAAAGGTACAGATAAGGGGAAAGCAAATCCCAAATCCAGCAGGGCAAACATTAAGTCCATGGGGTTGGTGAGATAACTCAGCAGACT